GTTTTCCAGAAAACCGGGTCTTAAAGGGCCCTCCGCCCAAATCCTTTTAGCCTTTTTGCCTACTCGAGGTCCTCTATCGAATGATGTATGAACGAACGAAATCGGAGCCGGACACCTGGGGCGGTTCGCTCGTCAGAATATATTATGACCCTCCGGTGGGTCGCCTCAATTCGAAAGGGTTAAAAATACTAGAGGAGTATGGACAAAGAAACATGAGTTGTCAAATAAGCTGTTTTTGACCTTTGTTTAGTGCATATCTCCATCAAACATCATGGTATAAGGCTAAAAATTTTATCATAGCCTCTCCACTAAAACCACAACATATACTCCAAATGTCAACCAATTTGAGTATATCTAGCCCAAAATAGTTTTTTGAGTGGAGTGACCTTAATTTCGATTTCAAAAACACACATTTTGAGGCTCGTAAGAGTAAGATAGTTTATAGAATTTATAAACAAAACGCCTTTTTTTACATCTGACATTTCTAAAGTTTGTCCTATTCTTGATGTTGTATTAGGTTGCAATCACTTTGCCGACAAGCACTTTCCTGACAGGTTCTTTTCTGCCGACAAAAATTTGAAGTCAAAACAAGTGAAATTTGTTGAGTCTGAAGTTAGAAAAGTTTTCAGGGTGAGGGTGCAGATGTGAGGTGATGGTGAGGGTCGTCGAGTGCATCTATCGTATACTCATCTATGCTTTATTCACAGAAAAATAGATCATATCTCTTCTCGTGTTGCATCTTGGAAACTATTAGATTTAGTGGGATTAGATATGAACCAATTGTGATGGCAAAACAAGTTGTCATCAAATCGTAACTGTCGGCAAAACAATCTGAGAGCAAAGTAGGGTTCACAAAGTGATTGTCGGCAAAATGTACCGCACCAGTTGTATTCTTTAGTGTTCAAAGTTTTGGCTCTGATCTGGTTCCTAGTGCTGGGTTTTTGAAATTAGGAGAATGGCCTTTCCGGTTTTACACGAGACTCTTCTAAAGAATTTGGTGAGGAACATTTATCTTGGGTATGTGTAGTCTGTAAGACCAGAAACGAACGTCATCTGAAGCAAAGAAATAACTCATTCTACTTTTCAGTTTTGTGAAACCTTTTTTTGTTCACGAATGAACGATTTCATTGAGAGAATATGACATACCGAATGATAATTTAATTTTTTGAACAGTTCTGTCAATTGTTTCGCATCTTGACAGGCGTATTGATTATCATTTTCTGGAAAAATTTGTATTATTAATGCACTATAACGTGCCAACCGACTGTTGTGTTTTCTTACACATTTGATACAAAGATCATAGCCTAAAAATGATGTTGAAAAGAAACATTTTTTTGATCAAAAAGTGCGGAAAACGCGGCCTCCTCTAAGTGCAATCAATATATAATCTAAGGCAAACCAACCTCTTTGATGTTGATTGGTAAATTCATTTGTACAATGAAATACATCATTATATTCTTCAATTCGTTCGTCGCATAAATCACACAGAACATACTCATATGTGCTTACATAACATTCAGATGCCTTTTTCGGCATTAGAACATGACCACAAAGGCACATTGGGTTTCTTGGTAACGTTAAATCTGCGAACAAAGAAAAAATTTAACACTATATGGATAATTAACTCGTGTGTAATCACTGTTTTATGGTCTTTTATTGAACCCCATGTAAGGTCGCGGCAAGGCAAAATTCTATTAACTTTGTTCCTGGTAGTCTGATGAATAAAACTATATGAAATTGTCGGATAGATCATGGAGCTAGAGAGACTTGCTGGTTTTGGCGCGAGTACTAATGCATTGTTTTCCAGAAGCTTTCTCGCCTCATTTAGGTTCGACAATTCTCCGACTCTATTGATTGTGAACACTCTGGAGATCACGTTTCTGAATCAGTTTTTCACGCTGTATCGAATGGATGTTCATTCAAGATGCTTGGACTCTAATGACGCTCGAAAAAAACAGACATAATCTATCAACAGAGCGTTTTTACTGGATAAAGGCAATTTCATGTTTTTCAAGGATATCCATTCGAAAATAGAATTTCTAGGTCTTGAATACATATATTCTTGTAGAGTTTGACGAGTTCTATCGAACGGTATATAAACATTCAGGAAATAAATTTTGCTCGAATTTTGACTTGCCGCTACCTTACAAAAAAGTATTAAAACAGACACTGTTAAATACTTTAAATATTGTTTTGTAAACAAGAAGAAGCACTTTTAAGGCAACCTTTTTGAGTAGTTTTCATAATTCAGCATCATTCCTTAGTTAAGAACACAGAACTTCAACACGAAAATACTCCATAGATATTTCAACTAGACTTAAGTTATACATGACCTGTTATAGTATCTTGAAGCAGTCTGTCGCATTATTTGACGGTCTCCTGATCGCTTTTCTCAAATCCTGTCATGGTTCCAAGAGCCTGTTTGTCACGGTCTGCGATGGGGAACGAATTAATTAGATACCAATCAATTACTTAAAGTGTCTGTCACGTCTGAAGGAGCACGGAAGTGGGACCAAATTTCTATCCCTATACGCTTCAACACCTTTTAGATCATGTTAGCAAAAAGTTTGCTCTATGTAACTAACCATTTGCAAATATTTTTCTTTCATATAACTCAACAATAATTTCCTTAACACACCGCACAAATAGTTGGTTGAGTATTGGTTTATGTAATAATCCAGGCTGATTTTCATCAAACGTAGTTTTGTGATTCACCAATATTTGCTTTATTATTATCAGTAATTGTTTGTTCGTATAAATTTTCCATGCATGGTAAGCCGCGCCGCCAGCGGCAATGCTTGCACCGGTCACCGCTATAGGTAAAAGAACAACACCAGCACCGGCTACTCCTGCTGTCACTATGCCGGATCCTGACAGAATAGCGATAATAGCAGCCACAGAGACACCACTAATAAGTAATCCAACAATAATAAGAAATTTTTCAAAACCAAAATAAGATATAAGTCTTCTCGCTTCAATAACGGCTGTGTCAACTGAACGAAAACGTTCATCTTTTTTAGTTGACATATATTCTTTAGCGTTATCTAACGCTTCACAGCAATATTTATCCCAATTATTATACGCATCGGCTTTTTTTATTGAAATTGTTTTCAGATGCTCCGTGCCTTCAGAAACCGACGATGTTTGTTGTCCCATAATATTTTTCTGTCTAGAAAAGATGCCTTTTGAATAGTCTGTTATCGAAACACAAGATACCCCAGATAGAACATAGAACTAACAGATGATATATAAGGTGCCGGCAATGCGAAATTTCAGTAAAAAATTTTCTTGCGTTTTGTTACACCATTTGATAGAGCTTGAGCTGATGATCACGAATATATATAGTTTGACAACATTCATTTTTTCAGATAATGTTAGAGGACTGAAGTTCTTATATACGGGTCAAAAAATGATTTTGTCATTATCTGAAAAAATGAATGTTGTCAAACTAACTTGAAAGATACCCCATTTGACTCAGTTTTTTGTGCTGATTCTGAGTCTGCATTTAGTTTGTGATTAAAAGTTTTTTTGGAGTCGAAAACCATCGAATACCGTCTAAAATGGCTATGGTTCCAGTAAAAACACCTTTCCTCAGCACAAGAAAGAAGAGAAAAACAAGCGCTCGGTAACTTTGTAAGGGTTGGAATGATGAGTCGAATGAGATAAAAAAATATTTGCCTTTATCATTTACTAAAGTAGTTATACCTATAACGAGGGTAGCTGTACATTTAACACATCGATATCTCTATTTGGATGTGCGACATATACTTAATCTTTACAGTTTAGATACATCCGTAATAAAGTACTTAGGTCTGATTAAAAGTTCTGTCATCATTAAATAAAAATATAAAGATAAGGAGATATTTTTAATTTAATTTTATCATATGTTGAGGATAGTTATCATTATTATGTATACCAGGTTCGATCGTTTTACATATATATATATTGTTGAATGTATATATTTATGTATATATTTTGTTGAATATATTTTAAGTAATTAATTGTTTTCTCAGCCAGACGATGTTAGTAAGCCAAAAAACTAGCCGTAAGATGAGGTGAAAAAATCTTCGCTGAGCCAAAAACGAGCCATATTTTCAAATTTGTATTTTATCTTCAAGTCTTCCCAGTTTCTAGAGGATACTTCGAAGTATATGTCCTGAAGTTTTTCGCCTTACTAACATCGTCTGGCTGAGAAAACAATTGATATTCTAAAAAAATGCACCGACAGTGGATATCGGAGTGTATATGTAACACTTTACTTGAAGTTAATAATATTGTTATCAAAATAGTGATTTTCAAACATTTGATAATTTTAAACTGTGGTATAAATCAGCACATACTGTATCATTCAACAACAAATTTTATGTTTTCTCCGAATTTCGTTATCTTTTAATTCCTTGTCCACACTTCAAATATTGGGACAAGAATTTAAGAGACAACGTTCTGAGTTTTTCGGAGAACGCAAATTAATTGAGATAGAAAAGAGAACGCATGAAAGAATGGAGAACGCTTTTTAATTTTTCAAGAGAACGCAAATAAATAGGGATAGAAAAGAGAACGTATTTTGAATTAAGAATATTTAATTTTTACTATTTTCTCAGTTAGTAAACATGTAACTATACTACAAAAATGTTTTTTTGCGATTGGCTTATATGGTTATTCATTATGATTACTTATTTGGTTGTGAAGGTGAGGGTGATCCTCACCCCAGTTGTTGAGTTTTTCTTGTCTTATTAAAAGCCTATATTACTAATATACGCGTGGTATATAAAAAAAAGATATATATCATACAAGCATGTGTTACAGTTCAGTTTAAAATCCAATTCAGTTTCCAACTGAACTACTGTTCTTTTCAAACTACGTTGCCAGTGCCCATTTTTTGCGCATTTTTTGAGTAGCTCGTGAACGAAAAGAGATAGAAACTTTCGGTTTTCACTATTCGGTAGAGGACATCGAAGCACATGATTCTGCGGGAAAACACGTTCAGGCAAAAGGTCGCAAAACACATGTAACAAAGGTTATCGCCCTCCTGGCTCTCGTGCCTGCTAACCTTTCGTTCCCGGACCGCTGGCTTCTGAGGTTAAACTCTTGCTGTTCCTAGGATAGACGAGAAGGTGCAATGTACACACCTGTCGTGTTAGAATGATGTCACTTGATAATGAATATATTTTAGAAAATAGTAATAAACAACACAAAGAAAGAAGATTATAAAACGATGATGAAGAGATCTAGAATACAATCTAAGATACAATAATAATCACGACTACCTCCTAACTACTTTTAATTGCTTCTCCTCTGAATAATAAAAAGAATGACTATATGCTCGAATATATATTATACCGAAAAAAAATCATAGAACGAGACAACAGGTATGAATCAAATGAAGAAAAGGAGGCTTGAAATAATATAAAAGATAACCAAAGATAAGGAATGGTCGACGAGAACAAATATACACTGAAACAAAAATTAACAGCAAGAAAATCGGAGGGGTGCACATGCGCAAGGTATAGTACTGTTTTTAATTATCGTTGCTATTTTGCTTCACATTTTTGGATTGATTTTGAGTGAGCAGAGGTGTAGAATCTACGCGCATGCGGCAAGGGCCGGTTGAGAAAATTTTTGGAAAATTATTTAATTTATTTATGTGTCAAGTGGCCATATTTCTTTCTTCATTTTTCCGAACATACACGCTAAACAGAGAAGGCTTCTTTTTTTACTTTTCCAGCCGGATAAATTTTCCATTTTAGTGACAGATTCTGCACCTCTGGAGTGAAGTATGAATTTTCTAATTTTACGTAAAAGCAATTAATTAATTTAGTTTACAGTCCATAATCTTTCTCTCCTTACTATATTTGTTATCGTCGACCGTTGCTTATCTCCGAAAAGCCAGAATAGACCACGGGCGTTCTCCGAAAAGTCAGAACGTTCTCTTTTAAGTTCTTCTCCCAATATTTGAAGTGTGGACAAGGAATTAAAAGATAACGGAATTTAGCATTTTTGGAGAACGGTTTCTATTTTAATTGGAAAGTTTGGATCCAAAAGAAAACGAAAAAAACTCCGAAAAGACCGGATGTAGATATTTTGTAATTAGGAACTGACTTGAGAACGGAATTTAGGCTGAGAAGAGAACGGTTTTGTTTTTTAATAATTAAGGGGGACCCTCCCCCCCCCCTCAAAAATCGATCTCAGTCCAGGCAAGTTCAAATGGGCTGAATTGTGGGGCATATGTTGGGGCTGAAGTGAGGATAAAATTTTCAGCTCGATACTCTGACGTTTGCCGAGATATGAATTAAACAAGGGTCGAAAAATAGCTCACCTCATCTCCAAAAATTCTCTGTTTTCCATTTTGAGTATGAAAGGAACCATCAGAAAGAGTCAATTTGGATTGTTCATACAGGTTTTTGCATCTAAAAACAGTACCTTAGACTCATTCCCAAATTCTGGCGTGAACTGAATATTATTCTTGTCAATTTTATTTAGATACGCTACTAAATCATTAATTTGATCCTTAGCTAATTCTGAAATTAGAACTATGTCGTCTACATAATTAGACATTAGAAACGTTATGATATAGGTATGATCTGAGACGACAGATAATAAGAAATATAGATAAATCTTATGTATAATGTTTATCAACTCTTATAATATTATTACAAAAATTATGTTAACATTTTCAAATTTTTCGGAAAAATTTGTTATAATTTTAGATTGTGGATCTATAAAATATTTTGTTTCTTAACTACTGTGGATGATATGTTAACATATCGAAACGTTTAGTTAATTGTATTACTTCATTAATATAATAAAATACGAAGAGAAAAGTTGAAACTTTTTTAACTTAATTATCAAAGTCGTAAACAATTGTAGCATTAATTTATGATAATTGTATTTGCTGGGGTCGTAATTGTAGTCGGACCATATCATAATTGTAGAGAAAAAGCAGTAGAGGATAGTAGTTTTCAACCGCTCGTTGACGTCTTCGTATGCTAATTCTCAAGCAATTTCATTCTATCCCGGCGTGAGCTACATTTTACTGTGTTAGCCCCCTTTCTCCATATAAACTACATCATTCAGTTCGCTTTAGCTTGTTTTTATTGCTTAGCTTAATTCTCTCATTTTCTTAGCTCAATATAAATAGTATATAAACATTTTTGTTTGTAGTTGGCAGAATTTTCATTAAGAAAAGTATAACCAAAGCAGCGGTTTTAATCATTTTCAATTTCCAACGTTTTGATTTATTAAAATAATCGACAATGGTGCAATGAAATAAAAAAATTCAAATTAACGTACAAGTTGTGCTTCAGTAAGCGGATCATAACAGAACGAATGAATTTACTAATGGATTCAGAGACATGTTGACTTGTTGATATTATGATTATTGACATCAGAGATTTATATTTGATAATACAGTATTGGATGCATGCAAAAGAGAATGTTGTGAAACAAGTACTCTAACAGGCGAGAAAGAAAACATATGGAACAAATGGATGTCGGTATATAACCTGACATAAAGATAACATAATAACACACACTGACATTTGTATCGTACACAAAGAAAAATAAATATCTATTTGAAATATCAGACGTATATACACAATAACGAATGTGAGTATTGTCTCAATACTTAGATCGTTCATAATCAGCCCTTTATGCTTGTTAAGTATTTTGAATCGTCCATTACTTTTTCAACATCATTCGACATTACTAAATTATCTGAAACTTGAAAAATAAGAAAGAAATTTCGTCAGAATATATTCCGACTGACCAGGGTAGTATAAGCGATTTTGCTTTACAAAGCTTTGATGCACAGTAAAATCATGTTTTTGATATAAGCTTTATTCTGTCAGAATACAAGCGGAAAATATTCCATTATAGTATTCTAAACTAAAACCACCGAAAAACACAAAATCAGTTTTGTACGAATAGAGATTCGAACATGTGAACTTAGCTTTGTAGTAAACTACTACAAAACTAAATTCACTGTTCTGTATCTATATTCTGTACAACGATTGAAGTTGTGCAATCGACTCGATGTTATCAGTAGTAATTTTTTTGGTATGTTTTTTGTGTTCTGTTTTGATATACCATGTTTTTTATAAAGTAATAAACACGGACAAATAAAAAAATTTCAGAGAAAAATATCAGACTGCTAGTTA